CGCAGTCTGATCTGGTCTGGTGCTGAGAGATGAGTCCCTGTGCTGGAAGGCGCTCAGGATACACAGTGGTCACCACCAAAGGACTCAGACATGCCGGTAATCATAAAAGTGACACAGAACTGGGTAACATTTCATTGTGTTGTACATGGGGCCACCATGAGTCAAAGCCGCCTTGACAGCAGCTAGCCAAAGAACACTCTTCACAATAGTTGTGTCTTGATAGATCCCCACTTGTGCTGTGCCCCATTTTTCTTTCTTCCTTTCTTTGTTTTTTATAAAAGCCATAAGTAATAGTCTACACATCAGGTGTATTTTATACCTAAACCATTCTCCTTGAGTTCCAGACACAAGTCAGTAGGGAAGGATAAAGGGAGTTAAAGGCACTGAACTACCCCCTGTAATGAGCTTCTGGTATGGAATGGAGACATGGCCTTGGGGTCATATCTGTGCACTTAGGCCCACCCCTTGGGTGAAATACCTCCCAGAGGTTTCTCTGCCCTTCACGCAGTTGACCTTTGGAGGCACACTCGCCAGAATTTCCCACCATGTTTGCATTCCCTGCTGAGCACCACCAGCTGCTGAGTGAGCTGGGATTCCCCTATTGTGGTGTGGTTAGGTGCCGTTGAGTCAGCTCTGACTCATAGCAACTCTATGTACAACAGAACAAAACACTGGTCCTGTGCCAGTCTCAAAATCCTTGCTATATCTGAGCCCATCGTTGGAGCCATTGAGTCAATGAGGGCTGCCTTCTTCTTCATTGAGCCTCCACTTTACCAAGCATGATATCCTTCTCCAGGGAATGGTCCCTTCTGACCACATGACCAAAGTAGGTGAGATGAAGTCTGGCCATTCTCACTTCCAAGGAGCATTCCAGCTGCACTTCCTCCAGGACAGATTTGTTAGTTCTTCTGGCAGTCCATGGTACTTGCAGTATTCTTCACCAACACCACTACTCAAAAGCATCAACTCTTCTTCGGTCTCCCTCATTCCTTAGGGATTCCCCTAAGCTGGAGAAATCTTCAAGTAGCAAATCTCCTCACCACCCAAATCTAAAGGACAGGCTGTTTCCATCATAAGCATAGATATGTTCAGGGTGTGTGTTTGAGACAACGAATTGCATAACTAAGAATAAAACATACATTGTTTCCTTTTTAAAAATTTAAATCAATCCCTTTAACTTTTCATTCTTAGAACATTATGACCTTGACAAGGGGGACATTGTCAATGACAGCATTTTTTCATAGTACAGATAGGAATATTCCTTGATAGGAGACATTCTTTGTTGTTGCCAATTCATCATTTTTCAGGTGTACAGCTCAGTGATATCAATTACATAAATTATAATTGGTTGTATGGCCATTACCTGTAATTGTTCAAATTTCCCATCACCATAAACAGAAACCTACTGCTACCCAATCAATCTCTGGCCTTCTTCCCCTCCCTCCAGCCCTTGATCACCAGTAGTAAACGCTGGTCTTTGTATATTTGCCCATCTTGTCATTTTCTGTAAGTGAGATCATACAACATGTGTAATAGGAAGACGCATGGGTTTTATTGAGCACTAACTGTGGGCCAAGCCCAGTACTAAGGGGCACATTGATTAGTTCATTAGTTTCTAGCAGTAGCCCTCTGAAGTTAGTGGTCTTATCTCCGTTTACACATGAGACAAATTATTGAGGCTTAAAGAAGTTTAGTCTCTTACTCAGAAGTCTCTGGGTGGCGCAGATGTTTGTGCACTAGGTCGCTAACCAAAAGGTGGGTGGTCGGAACCCAGCCGGGTGCTGCAGAAGGGAGGCCTGGAGATGGGCTTCTGAAAGGTCACACCATGAGCACAGTTCTGCTCTGAAACACACGGAGTCACCGTGAGTCAGAATTGACTGGAGGGCAACTCTTTATTATTCTGTTTTGGCAGCATCCTTCCCAAGGCTTCGGAGGTCAAAAGTGGAGAGTTGGGACTAGAACCCAGCCCATAACCACAAAGCACCGCTCTAGACTACAGTGATGCTGTTGTTCTGATATCATTAGAAGTATCTTATTGAGAATAAAATACTGAGCAATGACATGGTATAACCTCACTTCATAATTGTAGTTGCTCCTCAATTTAACTAAGGATAGAAAGAGTCCTGTTCATTAAACCTGCTGCCATCAAGTCGGTTCCAACTCACAGAGAGCCCATTGGGTATCCAAGACTGTACATCTTTATGGAAGTAGGTTGGCTCTTCTCTGTCCCATGGAGCAGCTGGTGGTGGCTTTGAACTGCTGACCTTCTGATTAGCAGCCGAACGCCTTGTCCACTATGACACTAGAGCTCCTTTAAACATCTGTATTTCTTTTAAATCATATGATTTATATTATCATATGATCGTCTGTGTATTATATGTAATTTTATAGCAATGTTATCATATGATCATGTGATCAATTGCATATTATATGTAATTTTATAATGTTATCATGTGATCATATGACCAGTTGTGTAGCATATGTAATTTTACAGCAAAGAATAGTTATCTAGATGAAATTATATCAGCAGACTTTTTGTGCTTCTCTCGTTAACTTGAACCAGATAGCCTATCAATGAGCCAAAACCTGCTTTCCTTTGAGTCAGATAAGTTATCCTATTCATAATCCTCAATCCACTGTGAAGTTTGGAATATCATTTTTGTTTAATCATAAGAATAATCCCATGCTTTAATTTGGGAGCTCTGGTCACGTAGTCCCTAAGGCACTTGACTGCTAGCCAGAAGGCTAGCGGTTCAAATCCACCAGCCACTCCTCAGAAGGAAGGTTGGCAATCTACTTCCGTAGTGATACCGCCTTGGAAACCCAAGGAGGGGTCACTGTGAGTCGTGTCCGACTGGACGGCACATAACAACAACAACAACAACATGCTTTAATTCCACCTGATAGCAGATATTACACTGAGACATTTACTTAGTCTGGAAGTCATGTTTGGGGAGGTATTGTGATTTAATCTGATTAGTTGTTCTCTGAAACCTGTAAAAAATGATCAGTGATTCATTTCTTAATGTGATGTTGCATGGACAGAATGGTAGAATCTGAAGATCTCAGCAGAATTAGAAACTAATCTTTTACGTTATTTTTATGTCACTTCACATCTTGCAGCATGAGCCCTGTTGGTGCAGTGGTTCGAACCCACCAGCCACTCTGCAGAAGGAAGCCATAGCAGCTTCCGTAAAGACTACAGCCTAGGAAACTCTGAGGGGCGGTTCGACTTTGTTCTGTCGGGTCCATATGAGTTGGATTCAACAACACACAACAGCAACATTTTGTGGATGCTTTAAAGACTGCATTGTGAAAACTGGGAAATTTTAGTGGTCGCCACTTAAGTTTCAGCAGCATTATCTTTTCCCAGTAAATACATTTGTGGATATGCAGTTTCCTTTTCTTGGGGCACCAAGAGTAATATATATGTAGTGCAAAGTATTGAGTCTGATTCACAATGACGCCGTTAGTGTCAGAGTAAAAGTGTACTCCGTGGGTTTTCAGTGTTCGTTTGTTTCCAAAAGTAGATTGCCAGGCCTTTCTTGTGAGGCCCCTCTGGGTTGACTTGAACCCCCAGCCTTCCTGGTTAGCAGCTGAGCATGTTAACTGTTTGCATCACCCAGGGCCTCCATGTAGTACAAGAAGTCCATGGCCATAGAGTCGATTCCAACTCAGAGTGACCCTCAATGGTTTCCAAAGCTCTAAATCTTTATGGAAGTAGATTGCCTCATCTTCCTCCAGCAGAGCAGCTGGTGGGTTTAAACTGCCAGCCTTCTGGTTAGCAACCAGATGCGTTACCCACTACACCACTAGAGCATCTTATGTAGAACAAAGGAGGGGAGAGAAAAAGACAGTCAGTAGAACGTTAGCAATTAAAGCTACAATGGAGAAGAGTTTGGATGTTCTACATCAGCCTTAGACCTCAGCTAGTAATTGTGTGTATCACTTGACCCCAGTGTGAGGGTGTTTGCATTGATAAAGTAGGTCTAGAAAGCATTGTAAGGAAATCTTAACATATGCATGTACCAAGTTGAGTGTGTGCATAGCGTACATTAGAACGGCCATGTTTTAATTTCAAGGTGCTTTTTGGTTTGTAAGGTGCTCTGGTAGTGCAGTGGTTAAGGCATTCAACTGCTAACCAAGAGGTTGACAGTTGGAATCCACCAGCTGCTGGGCGGAGGAAAGATGAGACTTCAGTAAAGACTGACAGCTTTGAAAACCCTCCGTGACAGTTCCACTCTGTCCTCTAGGGGCGCTGTGAGTCAGAATTGACTCCTTGGCAGTGGATGTGGTTTGGGCTTTGCTTCTGTAAAGACTGACAGCCTTGGAAACCCTGTGGTGCAGTTCCACTCTGTCCTCTAGGGGCGCTGTG